TTGAAAATGATGAAATCTACGTGGCTGAGACAAGTACTTATGTACCACGTCTATGCGCATAGCGTCTCTATCCAAATTATTTCAGAGTTGTGCTTGATAAAAGAAAGAAAGGCTTTCATTCAGTATCTGTTTTTCGGCATAATCGGTTCAAAGCTCTTCGAAGAACTTGCAGCCTTCAACGCACCGCGGGTGTTGGTTAAACGGCGCCATAGTGCTAAATAATGAATTTTTAACGGTGTTCCATATTTCGGGCTGTGCCCATCCTCACGCGTGAGCTCAGCTCATTTATCAGTAGCTTGTTACTATTAGGAGCGAACACGGCTTGAAATGTTGAGCACCGTCAATATAATCGTGATTTAGTACTGCATCGTTTAACCAGCATCTGCTGAGATATTGAAGACTCTAAACTTTTCTTTGGAGCTTTGAGCTTATGTATACAGATACGGCGCGACGTCACTGGTGTCACTGATCTAAAGCTCACGCTCTGCGTCATAGAGATCTAGAATAGCTGTGGTCCGCGGTGCAGCACGACGGGTGTGTTTATAACGTGCTTGCTTATGCTTTGAAATCCACGTTTCTAGCTAAATCTGTACACCCGTAGTTAATTATTGCATTATACAATTCCTGCCGACATAATCGAGGCCATCACGCTTTGGGAAGCCCATTTAGCCTTAGGAAATTCCCTTAAGAAACGGCTCCCGACCAGCATTGGCCAGCCTATTGCCCGCGGAATGTACGGGGTGCCGCCCGTGTCCAGCTGCCATGCCCGGGCTATGACTGCTGTAAGACATGACGGCATATCTATAACGGTCCGCTCTGGAGCATCGTCACCGTCGACACACCCTAGGCGGTACCAAGGGCATTCCGTCTGTTCAAAGTCAGGTGATCCGATTATTGCATGCTGAGAAAGTGGATCAAATAGGCCAACTGCCTCGCGGTTTGTGGCGTAGCCCGGACGACACCTGGCTCAAACGGCGTGGTGAAGGGCGGCGGCCAAGCGCCAGCTCAAACAAGCATGCTGTCATCGGCTTAATTCTTACCAGCGAGCCATTATGTACACGATATCTGGCATACACACATCCATATGCCGCAACAGCAGCGCACATTCCGAAAACATGTGCATTATAACATGGAAATTGTTAGAGCTTAAGTCCCTGCATATTACAAGTGCACGAGATGTGATTACGACAGGCTGGCTGTGCAGTAGCGTTCAAACCCTATACGGCACCTCGGCTATCGCGCAACACTGACAGCGAGCCATTCACTTTACGACTTTCAAAACACAATTAAGCTTAAAACTGCTTTCGGTATCACGCACAGTCCGTAACAATGAAACAGCGCACACAAATAGACATTTGGTATCTTGCTCATCAGTAACATATTCACGCCGTGTCCTGTGTGTGTATTGGAATTCGTTGTGGGTGGAGATAGCAACTGTCACGCATATTTTGGCCCATGCACACACATACATGTGGTCTGTGCGTTGAGACCTGACGGAATCTGTGTGCGCATTATTCAAGTGGTGAGCGTCAAAATCGGTGCAAAATGCGTGGGTTTCAAGCTAAGAAGGGAGTGCATAGGTCCTAGGCCACGACATGTGCGTGTTCTTCCCAGCTTCAGCGACACGCTCTTGTGGAATCACTTACCATCATATGGTTATTGGACGCTTGGGTCATCCAGCTGTGTGTGTTAATATGTGCGTGCTGTGTCCAGTGGCGCGTGTCAGGGCGTCAGTGTGCATACAACATGCACGCACAGCTACGTACAGACGCCTGTAGCAAGATCAATATATCACGACGAAGTGCAGTATTAAAGGAACACGCCTTCCACTACAACTAGAAGTTTCATACACAGTCTGGCACAGCCAGACATCTCTTCAGTAAGCTTTGCCCTGTTGGTGACTTGCGTCGGCCTGGTCACTGCGCCTCAGTCTGCAGCGCCTGACGCCAGACTGCCTGCCAGTCGTGCTGTCTATCCAGGGGTCGGAGACAGCGGAGCCTGACCACCAGCCGCCAGTTCGCCAAACAACTTAACAGTACCATCTTGGCCACTGGTGCGACCGCCATCATGGGCACAACCGCGGTCACTGACACAGCGCGGTCACCGACACAGCCGCGACCGCCGGCGCGGCCGGTCGCTGCCGCGAGACAGCTAGTACAATGGCGACCATTGGCGCAACCGGCGGCGGCGCAGCCGACCGGTGCTGAGCCGGCCGCCGTCGGCGCGGCGCCATCACTAGAAGAGCGGCTCCGGGTGCACCACACGGCCCATCAGCAGCACCATGGCCGAGTGGTAGTCCCAGACGAGGAACAGGAACGGGTGGTCCACCTCGAAGTACTTGTCGCTGATGCGCGTGTCCTCCGACGGCGCCATCTGCTGGCTGCCAGAGGTGTCGCCACTGTCGCCCGTCTCGTCCAGCACCAGGCTCGCCCTGCCGGGACGTAAACATGTCGCTCAGCCTGGCCCCGGCATCACGCCCCGTGGTGCTCGAGCTCTGGTGCACATGTGCCCGATGCGCCAGTTGGTCGGTCATGATCGGTCGTGCGCGCATTTGCTGTGCTGTCCGTTGCGTGACGTCATGCTACGCTGGTCGCGATGATATGATAACGACAACGTGTTGCGATAAACGCCGCATGCCGCGGGCATGCGGTGTTAATCCCTATGAAGTACAGCTGCACGTACCCCAACAAGTAAAGTAAACATGGTCACCCAATAACTGAGAGATTTGTTAGAGCATTCCTATTCAAAAGTGGTACACACCACGAGACAGCCCGTGCCTGATTGCGGGGCGTACTTACGCGTACAGAAGCGGTCCGGGATGTACGCGACCTTGAGGGTCAATACCGGTCAGGTCGGACGAAACCGGGTCAAATACGTCCGTCAGACCCTGCGTCCTCAGCACCCTCCTGAGGTCACCGGAGCCCTCCATCCGAAACCGGGGCAGCTTCACGTTCACTATCACCTCCTGCGAACGGCGTCGGCAGCGTGTTACATGAGAATGCACCCTATGTCCGAGCACCAAGCCGTATTTCAGTCTGAATGAGCCGTCTATCATGTCTGTCTGCCATAATAATAACAATAATAATATTATTATTAATAATAATAATCATCATCATCATCATCATCACGTCATGCCATGTCTGAACGCAGTACCTGCGTGACACATGGTCTGTATCAAAAACAGAATAATATTAATAATAATAATAATAATAATCATCATCATCATCATCGCGTCATGCCATGTCTGAACGCAGTACCTGTGTGACACCTGGTCTGTATCAAAAACAGAATAACCGCTGGCGTATGCGCAAACACAGCACCTGCGTCTTGTATGCAGCCCGTAGTATTAAAAAAACACAAATTGTGTGATGGTTGGTTCGTATGTGAAGGCCCATACAACAATCCATCATACATTTTAGGCAAAGGCTTCAGACTTTCCTGTCGAAACCTCGACCCAGTGTGGAACCTGCATAAGTCGCATCGCCTTGTCTTGTGGTTTTGAATGTTTGGGCAGGTTATGTAATCAACGCTATCAATGTCCGTGCCACGAGATTACATAAGCTAAGTCATGACAGTCGGTAAAAGTCGCGCCCGTAAAGCTTTTAAAAATTATCGATGTACATCATGATTGCCGGCACAAGATTATGCAGGGTAAAAGCCACAGTAAGTTATGGAAGGACATCAGTTGATGCAAAATTGCCTCTCGGAACAAAAACGTATCGAAAAGTCTTCTGGGACAAAATAGGCTCCACACATCTCCATACCCGGCTAGAGAACATCGCTATGGCTCCACGTGGAACAGGCTCCACACATCTCCACACCCGGTTAGAAAACATCGCTATGGCTCCACGTCAACTACATTTTAGTAGACCTATATGTAAAGCGCTACGCAAAAATGTCACAAACGCGATTCGGTCTGCCTCGACAAGAAGCTGATGGTAAGCTGTGAGGGTAGCTCAACAATTACCTGGGTAGGATATTTCATATTAGTCGCTGGGATTAACGCCGTGTTTCTGAACTTTGCTCGAGCGCGTTGGGTAAGGCCTTACCCCTATCCTGCGAAATGAGGTCAAATCGTTGAAGCCGGCGGGGACTATGACTCACGATTTGTTCCAGGTCGTTTGTATATCATTAATGAGAGAAGTTAATTCGTTAATACATGACGCTCTTAGGTTCATTGTGCACATAAGCAGAGGCGTCATGTTTCAGTTTCGTGTTCTGTTAAATGCATGTTTCATGTTGCAATTCGGCGTGCGGATCGTTTTCTCAAGCTGTTTTTCAACAGCTCGGAATTCCCCTATGACGGCACCTTTGTCGTAGAATCTTTCAAACGAGATCCTTGCTCATCGTTATCAAAGAAACGCAGGCCGGAAAACAAGTGTTCTTCAACGAGGCTTACGTTAAGCTAATACACCTGCTGACAAGGCCTTCGTTTTGAAGACGTCATGACCACATGGTTGTCAGAACAAATCGTATGATAACTGTCTCATAAAGGATGGGGTCGGTGCGAACCTCACTGACCTGGTCGGCAACGTCTACCGGTTCAGAACCACCACCATGCGGTTGGTGACCTAGTGGGATGATCCGGCGAGGCGTCCTAGTTCATACCGGCATTAGAGCTACCCTCCGTGCGAACCTGCACTCAGCGTCCTGGAGGCGTGCCGTAGTGGCTAGAGACGTAACTTTTCCGAAATATCAGCCCACAATTGTCGATATTCCCCGCAACCCTGCCCGTCCAGGCCAGCTTACAATCTATCCCGCAAAAACCCGCTGTGTCGCATTGCTAACCCAGCATTAACCCGCAAGTTCTAAGTAAATTGCATTCTGTGTTTTGTAATCTCTCCGTAACTTTTGACCCATACATTAAGTGTGTGCAAAAAGTCACGTTAGTATCGTCTAATGCACAACATTGACTAGCACTAGTGATGTTGCTTAGAGAGCAAAGTTCCCATTACCTAGACAGTGAAATTTCTAAGATACAAAAGAGGATGTGAAGCACTGTAATGTCAGTTTTTCAAAAACAAAGTAGGAGGAAATGGATGGAAGTTAAATTTGCTTATCAACAAACTATACCAGAGAGTACAACCTTTTCTCTCATTTCAATAGACCCCAGGCCATGTCTTCTAAAACTGCATGCATTTAACCATGGATTTCCACTGACAGATTAAAAATGCTGCGTGTTTCAAGCCATCGGAATTTTCCTCACTTCTTAATACTATACGTGGGCACAAAACACCATTCAAGGGCGCAACAACTGTCAAAATATTATGACCCGCATTAAAGGGACACATGCAGGTTCCCAGATGATATTTTCGGTCCTCACTTAGACGCATGATGCAACAACATGGAACCAATACCAAATGGCAGCTTTGAAAGTGACCCACATTTCCGTCTCATGACCATCCCCGTTCTGCCTCGTCAGCATCGCCGCGGAAACATCATGTCCAGCAACTCTTTTTTTCAAAGTTCACATAGCCTGCTGATTGCGACTTTTGATCTTTATGGGATATGTCACTGAAGTTGCATGTTAACTTTCAATTTATCACACGAACCTGTATAGAAATACAGATATGGGAAGAGGTGGAAAAAGTACTCCGACAGAAAGCCTTATTAAGACATCATGCTAAAATCTAATCAAATCACAGTAAGAGCGTGACATATTATATGTGAGAGCCTTTGATAGCGAGGCACTAAATTGCATGATCTTTTGGCATAAGTACACAAACTTTATGCCACCACTTTTCAGTTTCCAGAACTGTCGCGCATTTTAATCACCAGCAACTGCGGGTCACATTAGCAAGTGAGTGAGGCTGGGGAAATAAAAAAACACACAGATTTCTATTCATTACATCAAACAATGATATTCATTCTGAGTTGTGGGACACGGCTTGCGTATGAAACAAGGAAGTTCGTATGAGCTTCACCCTCACAGTAACAGCCAAAAGCAGCGTGTAGCTCTGCTGACATCAACTGCCCATCAAACTCCTGCTGAATGAAATCAGGCCAAGCTTCTACAACTTGGGATGTTTTTCTTGTTTTTTTTTATCAGGTGACATGTTTGCTTAACGATGTTCAATTTGTGCAACATAGTTTACTGGGGTGTCATGTCTGCCATGGGTTGTCTGTCGGTGATAATCTTGTTGCTAGCGTAAATAAAAATTGTTGCCATAATTGTCTTGTGTTTGGCAGCACATTCTGTTTTTTGGACGGTTCAAAACTTATAGTACAAGAAAAGATGCATGATTCTGCTTGCTCAAATTATTGACCCGCAAAGCCCGCCTCCCGCGCAAATTATTGACCCGTGCAAGCGCCTGTGGATTTTTGCGCGTCAGATTTTGGCGGGTTGGCGGGTATAAAGAGTCGTGCCTCTTGTAGCGACCCATTAGTGCCTTCTGACAATCACGTGCGCTGAGAACTCGCGAAAAGTCACTCTGCTTGCGAGCATGTCCGTTCACCCGCAGATGCTGATTAAAGGGAAAGCTCCCCATGTCAAAATATTGAAGCAAGTATCATATCGGATGAAATGATATACTTATAACTTTGGTATGCTTTTAAGTGAAATTTACCGATGTAGACAGTATGATATCTCTATTTGGTAAATGCCCTCCTCAATACATTCGTGTTTGATTGCATCAAGGAGCGTTTGTATGACGTTGACATGTTGCCAAACTCGCCGTGCAAAATTGTCACCCGACCACTCACCTTAACATTTTATTTCCCCAAGAAATTGCCGTGGCGCCATGGCGGTGCTGGAGGTGTCTGTTGAACCAAACATCATGCGCTCGTGTTTTTGGCCCTTTCTCGTGGTGTTCCTGCATATTTATCCGTGAGTTTGCCTTAATACTCAATGAGTTTCACCTGCATAGGAAAACGGCTGAGCCAAAGCCAACCCTTCGCTGTTCCCTTTGCACGAGAAAAACACGCATTCTTCCTGGGAAGTGTGCATGTCTACGAAAGTAATGAGGGATAAAACGGATAAGGACTACGAATCCTTTATTTTGATGCGAACATCGTTCAGGACTTCCGAACCCAGCGGCCAGGGGACGCCTTCAGCACGTTGCAAACTTAAGCTGTCGGTCCGTTAGCACACCAAAAAGGCCACCAGTAACCCACAAAGCCCGATCGGCAGCGCTGTGCCGAAGCCGTCGGGCCGCTCAAACTGATTGGCTAACCGACAGCAGATCTATGAGCACCACAGCAGATGTCCTTAACCTACGGGTTGAACATCTTGCCATGCTTGAAATATACTCACAATGGGATATTTTTCGTGTGCGGGGAGTACGAGCGACACAAAAAGTGCCGAGTCAGCGTAACGTTTGAGGTGGGTTCAGTCTACTCACTATTACCGGGTTCATGCTAACGTTTAATAAACATGTTTTTTTCGCAAAACTGTGACTCCAAACAGATGTTTTAACCATGGGCACCGAGGAAGGATATCACCAATTGTGTACATTTCAGGCTGACCGTTGTTTTTCGTCAGCTGATCTAAGCCTCCCAGCAGACGTTATGGCCCCATTTCCACAAATGCTGCGATATTTGAATGTAGCGCCGCGTGGCACCCGCCTCCCATAAACACAAACTTGCAAACTCTCTGCATTATTAGAGCAACAAAAGAACCTGCCTGCCAAAAGCCAATGTCTCATATCCTTCCGAGGATGCAACCACGTTTGATGTGTTTAATACATGGTTTTCAGGCGGATAAACTTTTGATAACATGTATTTTAAACGCTAAAACTATGCTTACTTTTGAGATCGTGCCGTCTGGAATTTGTTTACGCCTTACGAGGGTCAATGCTGCCAGTAACTAACTTCAAGGTTACACAGGATTCAACAAACGACAAATCACTTTGCCAAGAGCATGTCGCTCGTGTCATCCTAGGTCATACCAGAATGACGCCAGAGTTAACCGGCGACACGCATTTTTACCTTTTTACACCCGATCACCTTCATGTTCACGCATGCCTC